TTTCCCTTTCTTGCTTTCTAATAATATTCCACAGGTTACTTTTACTTTATTCAATATTTTCCCCAATATTTTGTCTGTCTGCTTCAGTTTGGATAACTTCTACTGGCCCAGTTTCAGATTTACTGATTTTTTTTTTTGTTTTTTTTTTGCAGCTCCTTGAAGTCCATCCAAAGACTATTTTTTTATTTAATATAATATTCATTCTAGAACTTTCATTTGGCTCTTTTTTGCAGTTTTCATTTTTTTCTATATGCGATATTTAGATGTAATATATACACGTTATATTCATAATTATACATACATATAAAATATATATGGCACATATGTATATATGCCATATATGTATATATCTATATACGTGGCACATTTATATGTTTATACCTTGTGTACGTATCTTTTCCTATAAATTATTTCACATATACACAATAGTTTTTTAAATCCTTGTCTGCTAATTCCAAATCCTGAGTCATCTACAGGTCTGCTTCTATTTACTGTGTTTTCTCTCTACTATGGGTCGTATATCCCTGCTTCTTGTTATGACTCAAGATGTCATTCTGAACATTATGTACAAAATAATTTATAGTATTCTGAAAATCATGTATTTATAGTTTTCTGAAGATTATGTACAGAAACTCAGTAGAGACTGAAGCATGGTATTTGTTTTGTTTTGTTTCCCAAAATGTCTAAGTCGTTTGTTCTGGCTGGCTGTGAAAACAAGGGTCTGAGCATTCAGATTCCTTTTGGAGTTGAGTTGAGCTGGAGCGGGACTGTGAATAACCCAACTTCCAACCTCCTGAACAGCCACTGTTTTGGTAGTTCAGTGTTTGAACTAGAAAGTCATTGACTGATGTTTCAGATATTTTTGGTTCATGTTTTTATTTATTATTGGCAAGGCCCTTGTACCTGTAACTTTGGTAAATTCACCAATTAGTTCTCGTAGGGTTTTTCTTAATGGATTTCTCAGAATTTTTTACATAAACAATTATGTTACCTGTGAATTAACAGGTTTTTTTTTAATACAGCAGGTCCTTATTAGTTATCTATTTTATTGAATTAACAATTTTTCTTTCTAAGCTTTACCCCTTTTACTTATTCATTTTTGTTTTCTCCCACTGACTAAGAGTGCCAATAAAATGTTGTATTGAAGTGGGAAAAAGAGATACTCTTGCCTTAGTTCTGATCTTTCTTTAATGAGAAATCATTCAATATTTCATCATGAAATAAGATGTAGATTTTTCAAGAATGGTCTTTATCATATGGGAGGCAAATGCTTCTTTTTCTAGTTTTCTGAGAGTTGTATCATGAATGGATAATGAATATTGTCAAATGCATTTTACACCCATTGAAAGTATATTCTGTTAATATATTGAATTACATTTATTGAATTTTAAGTGTTAACTCAACTTGAATTCTTGGAATAAAACACACCTGGTCATCATATATTACCCTTTTCAATGCTGGATTTTATTTGATAATAGTTTTTGAAATATTGTTTCATCTATGTTCATGAGAAATATAAATCCATAATTTATTTTTCTTGGAATTGCCTTTGGCAGACTTTGGATCAGGGTAATTCTGGTCTCTTACAGTGGAGTGAAAAGTGTTACCTCCTATTTTTTTCTAAAAGAATTTATAAAAGATGGCTGTTATTTTTCCTTAAATGTTTGCTAGCATTCACTAATGTGACCATACGGCCATGGAGTTTTTTTTTTAATGTTTAATTATGAACTCAATTTCTTTAATTGGTATAGGACAGTTTTTAAAAGTTGTTATAAGTTTTTACAGTTTGTGTCTTTCAAGAAAGTCTGATCTTATCTAAATTATTGAATTATTTGGCATAATATTGTTCATTATATTCTCTTATTATCCTTTTTAATATCTTCAGTATCCCTAATGATCATCTTCTGGATTTGTAAATTGTCTCTGTTGTTCATAGATTTTCTATTTCAGTGATTTCTGCTTTTTATTGTTTCCTGTCTTTTACTTACTTTGGGTTCAGTTGCCTTTCTGTCACTGGTTTCTTAAGGTAGAAACTTAGATCACAGATTCTAAACCCTTCTTTTCTTATGTAACCATTTAAAGATATAAATTTCTCACTAACCACTGCTTTATTTGCATATGACCAATTTTGATTTGATTTTTCCTAAGATTTTATTTTTTAGGGTAGTTTAACACTTACAGCAAAGTTGAACAGTAGGTACAGAGATTTTCCATCTACCCCCTGCCCTGCACATGCATAACCTCCCCTATTATCAGCATCACTCACCGGAATGCTGCATTTGTTACCAAGGATGAACCTACACTGAAAGTACATAGTTTACCTTAGTGTTAACTCTTGGTGCTGTACATTCTGTGAGTTTGCATGATGTATAATGACATACATCTTTCATTACAATATCATACAGAGTATTTTCACTGTCCTAAAAATTCTCTGTGCTCTGCCTATTCATCTCCACCCCAATCCCACCCCTGGCAACTATTCTTTGTGCTGTTGTTGTTTACTTTTATCCTATATCATAAATTATACAGTTCACTGTCTTTCGTGAATTAAGAGAAAAATAAGATAATCTTTTGTATTTACCTACAAATTTACCTTTCTGTCACTCTTCATTCCTTCCTGTAGATCTGAGTTTTTGTATGGTTATTATAACAAACAAATAAGGAAGCTTAACTATCATGGAAGCTTTACTTATTTATTAATTTTTAATGGACCGTCACGTTCACCTGATTAACCAGAAAGTCTTAGCCATGGGTTTCAATTCCTGTTATTGTGAGATCACCTGCATGTTCAGTAGAGTGATATACAGAGTTTATTAAGAAAGCATTGCTGAAATTTCAACTTTTTCTCTGTTGCTTCCTGCTCCAACAGGTCTATGGAAATGCAGGACCTAGCAAGTCCTCATCCTCTTGTTGGAGGTGGCGATACTCCTGGTAGCTCCAAACTGGAGAAGGCTAATCTCAGCAGCACATCGGTCACCACAAATGGGACAGGAGGTAAGTGTACAACCCTGAAGACACCCAGAATCACATTTCAAACTTTGTTGTGGCTTTACATGTTAGGGATCTGCTAGTAAATTAATATTATATCTCATAATCAATAACATCTTAGCATTATACTCAAGTAATATATAGTTAATGGATTATTTATTGTTCTGTTGATTTTCTTGAAATTTTTGCTCCTCCTCTATAGCTGGAAACATTCAGAAAGGATAGACAGCCCCGAGCAACATTTTGAAGGCCTTTAGCAAGGCTTCCTTTTTGTATTTGCCCGTGTACATATTTTTCAAAATGTAAAAAATGTGGCCAAAGGATTTACTCTCTGATCTTACTCGACAATAACAAAAATAGAAAACGGAAAAGAAATTCTATTAGTTTTTGGTTTTATTTTGAATTTTAAGAGAAAGGCTTCTCCAAAATTTTTCTTAAAAATGGTTTTTCTTAAAAATGGTTTTGGGAATAGAAAAATGTCCATATCTGCTGCATTTTCTTATCAAAGAGAGAAATACCTAACATGTATTTAAAATAGGAACTGAATATTTTTCTAGATACCTTTTCATATGATTAACTCATAATTATGCCATAACATATGGCAACAATAATAACTATTTCAAATATTTCACCCTATTGTTTTTATAAAATGCATTCAACCTGTCAGAAAATACGATCTGATTTTTGCATCAGAATATGTATACGTAGAAAGCCTATAGATATATATGTACATATATACACACATATAAGCTGCATTTTAAATTACTCACAATTATTTTGAAGTTTTGTAGATTTAGTTGTTTTCATCAAGTGAAAAATTACTTGAAAATTGCTGTAATTTGTAAACTATTCATATTATTAGATATCAGCATTTGCCACATCATATTTTCTTTTAAATTTTCAGTAAATATTTATTAAATTGATACACCTCTTTCCACTTATTTTAGAGTAACTGAAATCTAAAATTTTCTTTGTAAAGTTGTGTGGATTGCAACTTGCCTGTATTTAATAATGTTTTACATAAAACCCTTTGTAAATTAACATTTTCCTTGTTTATAGTGTTTGTCTCTAAACATGCATCTATAATTTTGGCTAATTAATTGTAGGATTGCAAATTTATAAGATTGTTTAGTGATAACTTGTGGAGTAAGAACATTTATATTTAAACCTTAACTTGGGTGTAAATAATAAGATTTAAAAAAAAAAGGAAACATGCGCTCTGAAATCAGACTTTGAAGGTCACTAATCACCATGTATGTATATTTAACTGAACTAAAACATACCTGATAAACTAAAATGTAAAAGTCATACCATGCAGTTATAATTTTGGCAAAAGGGTCAGAAACCAGTACAAGCACTGAAGACTATTCTCGTACACTGAGCAGGCATTCAGACAATGAACCCTTATGCTGTTCCTGTTCTCAGGGGACAACATGACTGTTTTAAACACTGCAGACTGGTTGCTGAGTTGCAATACCCCCTCCTCTGCAACAAGTATGAGAGATGATGGTACACTGCATGTGTTTGGGTGTGTGGATTTGCCCTCTGGTTTGCTTTCTGTTGCTATTTCTGTTTGCACTCTCTTTTCTGTGTTCAGTACTTGTTATTAAAAAAAAAAAAGGAGACATGAACACACCTTTTAGTTGTTTATTGATAACAGTTGGCTATGTTTTTCTTATCAACTAGTATTCTAATCTTAGGTCAGTAGTATTCTTTTCTTAGTTTTTTCATAATTTTGCACAAACGAGTGCATCTACTATTTTTCTATCAGTTTATTAAGTGATAATTCAACACAACTGTCATGTCAATGAGCAGTTGAAGCAGATTGCGCCTATGTACAAACTCAATCTCCATAGCCTATAGGCTTTCATAAATTAAATTAAATTCATAACATGGCAAAATGATATTTCCTATTTTACAGACTTTAATAAATATTCCAATTAAAATACCTAAAGTAATATTAACATTTAAAAATCCATCATTTAAAAAATTACCAATGATGAAAGCTATACATTTAAAATTATAAATTAATATTAAATCTCTTAAAATGTTTTGAACTATATATATTAACTACATTCCTGTATTTATATATATATAATATAAATAAACTTTTTCCCAAACCAAAAGTTAATATGCTATCAAAATTTAAAAATTAAAACAAAACCACATAAAACTTCTGTAGAACCACCCAATTCTAGTATTAAAAAGAAGAGCTCACGACCTGTTAGAAATGTGCATTACAAGCAAGCAGTTAGAATAGGCACAGTTTGCCTGGACCTTGCTGTATGTAGATTAAATTAGAATATATGACCAGTGAATGAAAAGTACTCTATTATGCCCGTTATTTAAATTTTTATCGTTTTAGTTTCTTCTTTTTAACTCCACACTTAAAATATACTTTTCATACTTAAAAAATATGTTGCCAGAATTTAGTTCCTCTTAATTCTAACTCAAGGGTCTTTTCTTGCAAAGAACCAGACAGGAAATGTTTTAGGCTTTGTAGGCTATGCTGTCTCTCTCTGTCTCATCTATGCAGCTCTGTCACTGTAGCTCAGATGCAGCCATAGGCAATACATAAATGAATGAGAGTGGTCAGGTTCCAATAAAACTTGATTTATGGACCCTGAAATTTAAATTTCATATAATTATCACATGTCACAAAATATTCTAATTTTGATTTTTTTTTTAAACATTTAAGATGTAAAAAACATTCTTAGCTCACTGGCTGTTGTTCTATTCTGACATATTAATGTAACATAGGCAACTTTACAATAGTGAATATATACAATCAATATTTATTAATTTACATCTAATATCCAACAGAAAAATTTTTTTAAGTGTAAAACATCAAGTTTTCCTAGTTCTTAGTATAAATGTTTAAGAGTTGTGTGACCATGTGGGGAAAAAAAAGGACTTCTGTGTCAGGAAGACCATGGATCTGAAACCTGGCACTACATTTACTAGCTGTGTCATCTTGGAAAAGTTACTTAACCTCTCTGAGCTTTAATTCTTTTCTCCAAAAGAAGGATTATAATACTTTACTGGCAAAGTTTTGTTTTAAATCATATAATGTATGTAAATTTGAGGCAATATAAACCAATATAATTCCTTTTCCTTAATTAATAATTCAATAATAATTAGGCAACAGTATTTTGAGGAAAATGGAAACATGCAGTCAGTGTGTTAAAAAACTCTCCAATGTTTGGTCAGATAATAAATCTTTCTGCATTTAGAACATGTAAACTGGCCACAGAGGCAAACTTTTAGTAATAAAATGTTAAGTACACTTTGATTATTAAGGATATAGTCTCGGTGGCATAATGATATGAAATATTTAATGAATTTTAATGACTCTTTATGCCATGTGTTTATAACATAAGCTAAGCATTTGATGCACAATGTTTTCCATTGAGAGTAAACTGTTTTATTTATAATTCTGGGTTTCATTGATGGAATTTGATCACTTTATAAAATTATTATAATAAAACAAAAGACAAAAGCAAAAGCTAATTTAGTGGCTTTTCAAGATCTTTCCATTAACTTAGATTTTCAAAAAGATAATTTTGATAGTTTTAACTGATACGAATGAGTCAATAGCATCACCTTAATATCCTACCCTACTACCTTGGTGCTGTTTAAATATATTACATTACTCCTTAAAGTAATTTTTAAAGGGGTTCATCACCTTAATCCTAATTCTGCAATTACATCTGCAGATTTATATTAGAACCTAGATTTTCCTTTCAAATTTCTGTCACTTGTGAAATTGTTAAAATGAAGAACTGTCAATAAAAATATAATAAATATAATCATATCTTAGCATACAGATCAGTGGTCAACAAACTTTTTTTGTAAAAGGTCAGCTAGTAAATATTTTCAGCTTTGCAGGCCATATGGTCTCTGTTGTAACTATTCAGCTGTGCTTTCATTGCACAAATGGAGCCACAGACTATATTTAAACAAATGAGCTTGACCATATTCAAATAAAACTTGATCTATGAACACTGAAATTCGAATTTCGTAAAATTTTTAGGTCACAAAATTTTATTCTTCTTTGATACTTTTCAACTATTTAAAAATGTAAGAGTGGGCTTCCCTGGTGGCGCCGTGGTTGAGAGTCCGCCTGCCGATGCAGGGGACACGGGTTCGTGCCCCGGTCCAAGGAAGATCCCACGTGCTGCGGAGCGACTGGGCCTGTGAGCCATGGCCGCTGTGCCTGTGGGTCCGGAGCCTGTGCTCCGCAACGGGAGAGGCCACAACAGTGAGAGGCCCGTGTACCGCCAAAAAAAAAAAAAAAAAAAAAAAAAAGTAAGAGTCATTCTTAGCTCACGGGCTATACAAAAACAGGCCGCGGGGTAGACTTGGCACTTGAGGTGTAGTTTGCCAACCCAAATATAGATTCATGTATTAGATTTATTGGAAGTGCTTAGGATAGGGTCTAAATGTGAATTTTCACCTTCTAACTTAAAATGTATCAGGTTCCTATTATATGCCAGGTTCTGTGCTAGGAAATGGGAACCCAATGACCTGTAGAACATGATACTAGCCATCAAGGGACCAGAAGTCTAGCAGAGGGAAACAGCAAAGAAAATAATGAGTGAATAATGTGTTCAAGGTGGGTGCCCAGCAGAGGGAGGGAGTATTTGATTCTACATGGAGATTAAGAAAATACTTCAAAGAGAAGATTTGGGGGAACCAAGATCAGACATTCTGATTGGGTTTATGGTGTTTTCTATATTTGAAATCTGTAGAGCATAGAAAAGAATTTCCCAGAGTTTTTAATATATAGATGATTGATTCACATGGGATGAATTTGTTTCTGAGTATTATGTGTCTGTGCAGTGGAACCAGCTACTACTGTGGCTCTGCTCTTTTTAGATTTTCTTTCTGGAATGAAAGCCATAAATTGGAAGCAACATCAAATTATTTTACAAAACTAAATACTTCATGGATATTTAGAAATGAAAGACACTTGGTGCTCATAGGTTTTTGAGTGAAAAAATTGA